ATATGTAGATATATCAACGATTCGCATCTACGAATTTTATTTTATAATTATTTTATGGATCATTCGTATGAGTTTTCCTTTCTTTTTCTTCTCATGTTTTTTGTCTTCCTCAAATGTATATTTTTCTTCTTTTTTCCAAGACAATATCTCAAGTAAAACAGCCTTTCACTTTATCACCGTATAAATAATGAATGTGTTAACAATATTTATTTATTTATAAGATGATCTTATCCAAAAAGTTTGTCAAAACATCCATGGCAGTATGGTTTATCGTTTTGTTCCTTGAATGTTCCCTTATTCAATTGTTTTAAACAAAATGCACAAACGAAGTGCTCTGGATGGAATTTTCGGAACATGGCAGTTATACAGCGTCCTGTAAATTTAAAAAAAAAAAGGAAATGATTTATTAATAATTTATAATTAAATTTATATTTTTTATTGTGTTCTTGTAGTATTTACCTGTTATTGGTTTATGACAACCAGCGCACAATGACCCTCTTTTAGCATGATAATGCGTTTCGCAATACGGTAATCCTTCGTGATCGAAAAAGGACCCTCCCTGAAACTTTTGCCTGCAGTCCTGTAAAAAATATCAATTTCATTTTCAATATATATATATATTAGAATAATTTTATAGATAAAAATTCAATTATTTCAATATAAATATATTTGTTCATATAAAATCAATTCCCGCTCGTTTGTATCATCAGTTATTACAGGAAATCCTGTATATACGGAGAGATGATGATGATGGGTTGAAAAGTTTTCACCCATAACAAAAAAAAAAATATTTCATCTTTAAATAAAAGTTAATTCAATCGAAAGAAATATTGTTTCTACATTAGGCTCACAAAACTTTTCAACCCAGCCACCAGGTATATATTAGAAATTTCAACTCATTGTTATTCGCGAGAAATTTTTTACAATTAAAATAATAAAATTAATAACAAATAAAACTGAAAGTGTACAATAAACATTTCAATTCGTTATCACTCGCAATACTTTTTTTGTATGATCCAAATATATATATATATTTATAAAAACCATAAAACACAAATGTACAAAAATCGATAAAACTCATATCGACAAAAATCTCATTTTATGTGTTCCTTATGTAAACTAACTATATATACACGCGTATATACTAATCGATCATGTGTCCGACAAGAATACTAATCATTTATTTTTACGATAGTAATCATTTACTAATGTAATACAATTTATCGTCAAATAAAAAAAAAATATAAAATCAATATTTTACCATGCATGGTATATATATATATATATATCAAGCAATAATATTAATAAATAAATAATAACGTTAAATGCGATCGTACATTGACCAACACATTTTTCTAAAATTAAACGACACAGTTTAACGGCCGTGTGTCGAATCACACGGACATTAACGAACACGCGTGCGACATATATGTTCTCGCACGCGATTCCAATGTCACCCTACTGTCTTTTTTATGTGTGTGTATTGTTTTTTATTTATTTTTTTTTTTATTTTCTATTTTTTTTTTTTTTTTCTTTTTTTTTAAATAATTTATTACATATTTTTTTCTCTCATTATATTATTACCCTTCGTACATTATTTAAATAACAATC